TACAGACAAAGACATGAGGACTTTTTGATATTTGGAATAATCTTAGAGTAGGATATTGAAAACAGTTTTCATCTTTCCTTGTCTTCCATTTTGTTGTCTCACTTATGGCCTGTCTAGGTGATCACTGTACACCAGATTTGATATACTCAATTCTAGTTATCTTTTATCCAGAATAAAAAGCGAGACTGAAGGAAATGTGGAGATATTGTCTCTGCTCAAAAAATTAATCAAATTTCTGTTCATAATATATTATTCTTAATAATTTTTCCTTTGGTTAAATGTGCTCATGAAAATTAAATTGAGTAGTTTATACAACAAATACTTTTGCTGATTCTTATTTTCCTTATAAGGACACAATAAACAGTCAGTCAAAAGGATGTTGAAGTTAAAGATTTTGTGGAATAACTAGACTAGGTATTTATTACTCATTACTTTTCATTTCTATTCTTAGGGACCAGTACCAGGTCAGGCTATTATAGATAGGTTAGACATATTTCAGGAGGCCATTAAAGTAGAGATTCACAGCATAGGAATTACAGTCTCCATGAGAAAATAAATCCAAATAATTCCCTTTGTTTCTTACAATAAAAATGCATTCAATAGTTTTTTATTAATCAATTCATTAAAAAATGTATAAAATGCCTGTTATTTGTTTAGAACGGGGATACAGTGGTATCCAAGATTATGCCTTATCCTTACGAAGCTTACATTCAAGAAGCAGAAGGAAGCAGAAAATAAGTAAATAAGATTACTTCAGATTATAAGTTGTATAAATAAAACAAAATAATATAATGTAATTAGAACTTAGGAGTAATATGCATTAAATGTGAAAATTAGAAAAAAAACTTGTTGACTAATAAGTTTAGACTAAAAACAGCAAAAATCCTTTCTCTGTATGGAAAATCTGAGAAAGAGCAAGATAACAACCTTAGGAGTAAAACAAAAGAGTGATAAATTCAAAGAAAGATACTCAACATCTGGGTGGATGAAATTTTTTGCAGAGATAGGTTTGTAGAGAATCATAAAGGACTAAGGTGGTATCTGGACATAGAGGGAAGTTCAGTTGACACTCTTAACGAATAAGTAAAACTTACTGATAGACTAAACAGGAAACATAAAGGAAAAGGAGGAATCAAAGAAAACTCCAAGGATTTGGGTTTGAGAAACTGGGTAGAAGAGTGGAAGAGGAGAAAAATTGGAAATGGTGTAAAAGACAGGTCAAAAATGTGGCTTTGACCAGGTTAATTGAGGATTCCTATTAGATATAAAACTGCAGATACTGAATATGTGGTTAGATAAGTGAGTTTGGATCTTGGTATGTATCAATTTGGTAGTACCAGGATATGAATATTATTTAATGTCATTATTTGACTTACATCCAGGTATAAATACAGAGCAAATCAAATAAAAAGAAATTATAAAATTTGGCAATGTGGAGATAGTCAATTGTCTTGACAAGCACAGTTTGAGCAAAGTGGTATAAATAGAAGCAAGCTTGACTTAGATTGAAAAGTTAAATAGGGGTGAAGAAGTCATGACAGTTATGGTAGCCAAGTTATCTGAGACGTTATACAAAACAAGGGACAAGGAAAAAAAGACAGTGGCTGGGAGAAAAGTGTGAGTTTAAGAGAAGCTTTGCATAATACACACCTCTATGTTAATAAGACAGATAATGGGACAAAAGTGTTTCTATAAGATAGAATAAGAATAATTCCATGAGTAATGTCCTTGAGGAAGCAAGATGATGGTGTGTGGAGAACAATGGAATTTGTCTTTGAGTAGAAACACTATAGAATATATATAGACAGACAGATAGAAAGATAGATAAATAGAAAGATAGATTGATGCAGGCATGTTAGCAAATTTTTGTATTGAGATGAAATAGTTCTCTTTCAATTATTGCTTTCTGAATAAAGTGAGACTATCAACTTGGAATAAAAAATATGTTTGAGGAGAGATGGAGTGGTAAAATAGATTTCCATGAGAATTGGAAAATTAATTAGGAAATGGTCGGATAAGTTGGTCAGTGCTTTTGTTTTTGAATCATAAATTTTAAAACTTTACCTTCATTTGAAAAACTCGTCTGGCCCTCCATACAGCAGTATAACCCTATTTAAAGATATTGCTGCCTTAAATGTGGCCTTTGTTGTGTGATAACTGAGAAAACTTCCTTAGGATTCAGGAAGAGAATAAGAGCAACTGCTTTGCCTGTGATTTCTAATATATGGAGTATGTAGTCAGGCTCTTATAGATAGGTTATACATACCTGTGTGTCTTCATGCCCATATTTTTGTTCTTTGAAATACTACCAGTGAATTCAAAAAACATGTATTGGTTTAGTTTTCTCAATCCACAGATTATCTTTTTTACTCTTTGATCATGAATGCAAATAAGCACCTTCTGATTTTCCTATGTTTGTGCCCAGCACATATCTGTATTTTTGTTCTTTGAATTTGTCAAGCTGGACTATGGGAGGACTAACATTATAATGAACATGTACCCCATGCCCTCATATCATCAACTACACTGTCAGTATGGAACAATACAATTCCCCATGATGTTTATTCATATTGAGGAGGATATTTTAGTTTTATGGAATACAATATAGAATAACAACTTTAATGTGAACAGCCATATGGACCACATTTCTGGATAATATGTGGAGGCTCATTTTTAGGTCCAACAATAATGACTTCAGAGTAAGTTGTTCAGGACAATCCTAGTATCTGCCTACTGTTTCCATATAAACATTAATAGATCACTTTCTCATTCTCCTAAGTGCTTTAGTGTGATAATAAAAGATACATATCCAAGATAATGAATCTATATTTATAGCCCCCTCAGTCACGTCACTTAAAGTGTTTATTTAAATATGAATTCTGGAGAAAACTGTTTTCACTGACCAGGTGCAATTCTTTCTTAACCATCACATGTTCTTAATGTTACATTTCTGTAATCATCACTATAACCACCATTGTTAAGGCCTTATCTTTAGAAATTGTTATCATTTTTGTTTTCTTCTGGCCCTGTCTTCTAGTGTATAATTTTTCACTCTTAACATTGACTAAAACATGTCTCTATAACTATCTAGTTAGATCAAATACTAGGTCTACCATACTGAATTCAACGTAGGCCAAAAATGTGGAAATGTGAGGTGTGCAGTAGGCCTTCATGCTAAGATACTCTGCTTCTCCCTGGAATCCTTTTCAAACAGTCACAGTGTTTAAGCTAACAAATCTGTATTTATGGCCTCCAAATCCAAATGTAGATAGGCCTTCTTCATCACAAAATATATACTATATTTTTTTTTTTTTGCCTAACAGAGAAAATAGCAGGCACTAAAGAAGGAGGATACATCATGAAAAGATAGGTAACACCTTTAGGAGCTAAGACACAGAATGGTCAGGGATTCTTGATTCTACCCACTATGACGTCAGAAAGCAAGCATCAAAATGACTGTAGGTAGAAGTGAAGAAATCATTTTTTCCTAGTCATGATTTTTTCTGCTGCCTTATTGTGGTTTTGCATTTTAATTTAAAGAAGATTGAAACATCAAAACGAAAACTAAAGCACAAGAACAAAAGAAAGTTCTAAACTATGGATAAGAAATATTTGGTATGTCTTATATAAATATCTATTTCTATCAGGTAGGCTTTCCTCATGAAAACTACCCTCTAACTTCAGTTTAACATTATCATCAGTCCAAGATTCCCTACCCCTTAAAGGGGAGTTTATTGGTATGAGCTGAAAATTAGGAAGGGGTCAGGATATAAGTTTCACGTATTATTTAATTTTTTTTTTAAAGGCAAAAAATTGCTTAATTCTTAAAAAATCATAGTTTTATGGACAGCATCAAATTTCCCCGTGTTAAAATACCAAAGAAACAGAGGATCGTGGGAAGATGGTGGATTGATAGGTGGCAGGGTAGAGAGCCTATTTGGAAGAAAACAAGAGACAATATGATAGGCCTGGGGGCTGGGGATTTAGCTTAGTGGCATAAGCGCCTGCCTTGCAAGCAGGCAGTTGTGAGTTCAATCCCTGGTACCGATAAAAAGGAAAAAGACAAACAAAAATGATAGGCCTAGAAGGTCTCTGGTTGTCTTGCTTTGAAATCCTTATTTCTTAAGTTGTTTTCTTATGATCTATTTTGTTCTGTTTGATTTTACCCTCTTTAAAATAAAAAATAATATGAGGAAAAAATAAAATACCAAAGAAACTATGTAAAAGTACCCACAATTTTCAAGTGGATCCAACAAAGTAGTTGTATCACAATGGTATGCATCTTCCCATAATTGGTATGGCTATATGAATAGGTTCTGTGTAGACTGGGATTTGTTCTTTTATGCCTCATGTATTTGTTAAAATATCAATTCCTTGCTTTATTTATTGTACTGCTACAATTCTTTCTTTGCTCTTGTACTTCAGGATAGTCATTAAATAATAACTCTTTGTCAACTGATTTTCATGAATTAGTTTTTCTTCAAATCTCTCTACAGTATGTTACAGCTGTTTGATGCTGAAGCTTTCTTCAGCCTCAATTTGCTCTGCCTGAGTTATTTTTCCAGCTTCATTTTTCTCTAGCAAATTTTGAATATGATAGTGGAAATGGTGGTTTAAGTTTAATTCTTTTATTTGAAAGGGTTACTTATTGCTTAGAGTGTGATTGAAATGTATCTTCCCTACATGTCCCCTATTCCCATCTCTGTCTCTGTATAGATAATGGATAGATGCATGGATAAATAGATGGATGGATGGATGGATGTATGGATGGATAGATAGGTAGAGAAACTTGCAAAGCCCTTGATATATGCATAATATTTTTTATTTTAGTAATTGCCTTTGTCATTTTGCAAGAATAGACCTAAGTGTCTCGTATTTAACTATTCATATGTATAATCAATACAATAATTTTAAAAGGGGTATATCATACATTGAATTTCAAATCTCCTCAAAATCATGACTAACCTTCTTCCTTTTCCCCTTAAATAATCTATATTAAGTGTCCTGGGAGCTCGTCCAGGCAGGGGATCCTTCCTGGAATTCCGGCACATCCATCATCACAATTCCTTGAAAGAAATTACAAGTAAGCTATCTCTTAAAAGGAAATTAAAGCTTGTAAATTCTATAAAAAGGAAGCAACATCTCACTTGGAAAGAAATTTGTTGGACAATTTTATGTAATTTTTAATAAGAGGTAGGTTTGTATAAAGAAAAGGACATAATCAGTGATAATGTTTCCCACTGTTAATATTTATATAATTGTGCTCCTGCAAGGGCAAAAGATAACCCTTTAATATATTTCCTAAGAAAAAGTCAGCAAGGATCAAAATTAATCTATAATACTTTCTAAATTATACTTTTTCTTAATTTAAGATCACAAATTTCACAGACATTCAGAGAAAGAACATAGGAACTATTCCCTAGCAAAAACCTAGTTTTAATGAGAATCAGAATAAAAGTATAATAGTCTACTTTTTTCCAATTTTATGAGGATGATCTTGCTTTATTTTGTGTCCTATGTAAATCTAATGTGTTTTTGAATGATTTCATACAGCATATAGTAATATAATTACAACAGTATATGCGATCAAATTATTTATACTATATGAATGTTTGACTTTTTAAAGTATCCTAACACATTACTGTTAATTTTCATTTAAAGTAGCTTTCCGATTTACGAGAACAAAGAGAACAATCTTTACAACTATATACCTCATAATTGGGACAGCTTTTGGGGAACAACTAAACCTGAAGTAAATTATGGAAACAAGCATTCTTCAAATGTACACATGAAGCCACTATTCGTATGTATCATGTATCTCCATGTTTATCTACAGTTGTATTACCAGAAATCAATATTTTATTATTGAAAAAATTACGTGACTGTCAATCCAAATAATGATTTCAGAATTTTCCATTATATGACTATCATTACTGTTTCATTTTGAAAATAAGATTAGGAAATATGGTCGATGGTACAGTGTATACATTTATATATAGTAATGTACATATATAAGTATAGGTCTATACAATGTATTTTTATAAATTGTCTATATTAATGTTTAATATATTAAATAAAAATTTGAAGTTTATAATTTTTAGAAGGGAAACGTGAGATAAAAGGAAGACCAGTTAGCTACATGTTACTAATTCAGAGGTGAAACTGGTCTTATGTTATTATAGTCATTAAATTGTCATAACTCACTACGTTTTTTAGGGTGTAGTTCGTGTACTATAAAATTCTAATGTGTCTAGTGTACACTAACTATTGCATTGGTCAACTTAATGTTGAATACTACTTAAGTGCTGATCAATGATGACACACTAACAATTAACGCAAAGTGCAACCTGGCTTTCGTTGCTCAAGTGTTTAAAAATAAGGGAATAATTATGAGACAAATTGTCACCTTAAAGTTATCCTTATAAATTTTCTTGACAAATGTAACAAATTATTTAAATTGAACTAGTTAATAGTATTTATTAAAATAAGTTGTGTTTTTATTTGGAAAAGTAGAGAAGCCTTTGTACACCATGTGACAAAATAATACTTCCCACAAAAGTCCACCATGAATCAAGTGACCTCCGATAAGTTATGAAAATGCAATGTGGATTTTTAAGAATTTTAATTATTCAAAATTAAAAATTGCAAGGCCTGTGATTAAATAAAAATTATTTTTCCAATGTCTTTAGCACATGCTTGATGTCTTATCTATGTAGATCAGTAACAGAAAATAGAACTGGTGAAAAACTGGGAAATTTTGAGGTGTATATAAAATTTTGAAAGGGAAACAAGTAATAGTACAGAAATCTTTGTAAGTCAATACATGTGGAAATCCAAGGAGTGAAAACCTGAATAATTAAAATTAAAAAATGAAATGATTGTAAAGTAAAAGATGATTTTAGAGATGAAAAAGGGATTAGGAGAGAGGGGAGAAAGGGAAAAAAACTAATGTAGGAAAGAAAAATTAAAGTTTATTATGTGCAAGTAAAATATACCAACATGAAACCATTTCCCATATTACTAAGTGTCACTAATAAAATAAAATTTTGAAAAGAAATGCTGAAAGGATTATATTGAGAATGTGAAGTAGAAACTGGCTGAATTTGAATGCAGGCTGCTTCAGGATCAATTTAGATCTGTGTTTTAGTTTCCTATTGCTAAATAACATTTCCATACACTTAGCAACTTAAAACATCACATATTTAGTATGTCACAATTTCCGTAAGTCAGGAGTCTATATATGGCTTATTTGTGTCCACATCTCTGGATCTTACATGGTTGCAGTCAAGGTTTCAGGCAGTTGGCCTTGTCATCTGGAGTTTGGAACTTCTTCAAGTTTACATTGTTGGCATATTCCATTTGTTTGTGCTCTCCCATCAAAACTTGGTTATTGTTTAATTATTTTACTAAGGTATCATTCATGATATAATTCTTTTTTTTTCTGTTGTCTATTGGTCTGTATCTCACTTGACTTTGAAGTCACCCAGACCCAGGACACTCCTATAATATTCTTGTATCTTGAGTATCATTCATAATGCCTGCCACGGAATGGTGGTCAAAAAGTGTACATTTAAAATGTTTGAAGAAGGTCACCTGAGTAATGTTTCTAAATAAAAACAGATGGGTCTCAAAGGCCTACAGTATTCATATTTTATCAAATCTGTTTTCAAATGTTCATGACTATATTTTTTAAAGATCTCTGTAACAGAAAAATGCATTTGTATATTAAGATTTTTTTAATTGTCAAAAGGTAAAATTATGCTAAGGAAATGCAATTTTGAGCATGAACCTCCATCATAAAAATATTCTGTAACAGTGATTAAAGCTCTGAATATAAGATATAAATAATCTGTTATAACATGAAAACAATTATAGATGTAATTTAATATTTGTAATAAAATCATATCAAAATGAAAAAGGAAATGTTTCATAAAGGCCACAAGTTTAGTTTACCATAACACTGTAGTTGTAGTAACATTCATCATTGTGCAGTATCAGAGTATGAACTTTGGCACTATACAATGAGAAAAAAATATGTTTGACTTTTCTTATGTAAGTATCCTCCTGTAATATTTGCGTCTTTGTGTCAGAGTCTGAATTGCACAGTACCTAAAGTAGTCTAGAGATATTGCATCAGAAATAGAGTAATGATTATTTTAAAATAGCCAAAAATTCATTTATTGAAAGAAAATATTATTTTAATCATTATAAATTTATAATAGTGATAAAACAAATTTTAAAATTGCTAAATTAATATTTGCCCAGTTTTCCAATATATAAACATATCTAAATGATAGTAAATTTTTTACTAAATGTCATGTAATTATGTTTCATATTTTTATCTTCTTTGTAGGATCCCACTCCAGGAATTCCAAAATCAAGCTATAATCAACGAGAAAGACAACTTACTGAATATTTAAATCCTGAAGAGCCAGAAATGCCTCACAGAATAGGACGTGCCCAGATGAAAATGAACTACTAAGATCTCATCAGATAAAAAAATGTGATTATCTTATTATTTTAAAATATTCATGTAAGAACTTTGAAAAACTATGAATATGATTTATCTGTGCTCTACATTTCTTTATGCATTAATGCCATCCATTTTTGTCGTCATGCCTCAACTTTTTCTGCCTACACTCCCATGATCAAAAAACTGAATGTTCATTTCTGATATCCAGTTTCTTAGATTAATAAGAATGACAGATACATGTTATGTCCCCAAATCAGCATAATACTTGCTTATTTAAGCCATATATCTTTGCAAAGTGCTCAGCAAAATATGTATGTAATTGGTTACATATATCTTGCAGAGAATGAGTTCTTTAGAGTTATGCAATGAATTTAAATATCTGCACCAAATCATCAGTATATAATTAATAAATTTTATTTGAAATGTACAATTTGATTATAAATATATTCCCCAAAACAAAAATTTCATAAATGATTTCTACAAATTTAGTGGTATAATAGAATGATTCCAAGACCTGAGTTCTACCTTAACATTTTTCCTATCTTTTCTCATTCTTTCTTTTCTTCCTTTGTGTTTCCTTATTTAAAAGCCATGCTACACCAATTATGCACCATGCATTGGTTAGTTGTTATGGTACAAAGATAAATATGAGACAGTCCATAGAAGATAGTCTAGTACAAGACAGAGAAAAAAATCCATTTTTTAATTCAATGTGATAATGCAATGATAAAGATGTGTACAGTATAAGAAAATTGGAAACCAAAGGACTATTATCTAGCCTAGGAAAAAGTGTGTTGATACATCTCCTATCTTATGGTAGATAAAAGAAGTCTGGTTTTCTTTTTTTAAAGGTGATGTGCAAGCTATTATAAAACAATAAAGAGAAAATTTACTAAAGGAGAAGATGAGAGAGTTTTGAGATAAAGTTAATGAACAAAAAGCATAGAATATAAAATAATATGGAGCATGAAGAGAAGTTCAGATACTTCTGGAGGATAAAACTAAAGACAGTGAGTTACGAGGTTGAAGAGACAGCCAAATGTTCAATCATGTGGGTTTTTATATGCAATGTAAATGAACTTAAACGAAGTCTTATAGGTTATGACTCTGTGTTGGTTATTTTTTGTTACTTGATATAATACCTGAGGTTTAATCCTTTATTAAGAAAAGGGTTTTGGGGGCTGGGGATTTAGCTCAGCGGCATAAGCAGCCGTCATGCAAACAGGCATTCGTGAGTTCAATCCCCGGTATCAATTTAAAAAAAAAAAGTGTGGGGGGGGAGTTGTTTAGTGTATGATTCTGAAGGTTATAGGGTGTGGCTACGACATCTGCTAAGTTCTGCTGAGGGCCTTCTCACATCACAATGTGGCAGATACCATTAGGTAAAGTACATACATACTAGAGAAACATTGCATGACAATATAAGAATCAAGAGGCTGGCAAAGGATTGGGCTTGCTTTTTCTTACAGTAACTCATTCTTATGAGACTAATGTAATCCATGTGACCTAACCACCTTCCACTAGGCCTTAGCTCTTATAAGTCCTACCACTTCAGTACTACTACACTGGCAGCCACTCTTCCAGCACATGAATCTGTGGGGGACATTAACCTATAGGGGTCCATGCAGACAGTATCCAAGCCCTAGAATCCTCAGTTGAAAGAGTTAACAGAATCACGGTTGGATTTTATAATTTAGACTGATCACTGTAGTGGTTGTGTGGTAGACAGATTTGGAAGAGACAATATAAGAGGCAGAGCAACCAATGAGAAGGCAGAGGTGATGAGTCCTATAGCCAAAACACTGAAATGAATAATGGAAGGGCAGGTTGAAGAAATTTCTAGGAAGTAAATTTATAGAACAAGGGAGCTCTGAGATGTTACAAATGAGAGAAAAAAAGGAAAGGTTATTATGGTTGAAAGGTTATTATGGTTGAAAGGGTATTAGCACTACTCATGGATGTAGGTCACTCACAAGTCAACAGGTCAATAAGAAGTCTGGGCAGCAATGAACAATTTAGATGGAAAGGAGATTAATTACTACTACAGATCCATGACCTTCAGATTAATTGGACCATTAACACTTCCCAGAAATCTAAGCATGAGATAAATCCGTCTCCAGTACCAAACAGTGATTATTTTATTCCTTTCTTTTGACTTTTGACCCATTTTTATTTGCACATTCTCAGATGATTTCATTTTGTAAATTAAAAAAATAAATGGATGCCATCGAATGGAAAATCCTAAATCTATAAATAGTTTTTTACGCACCCTCTCATTTCATTATATCTCATGTCTTATTGCAGTGTTTTTGCTTGTTCTCTAAATTTCATCCACTTCACCCTTTGCTTGGACCTTGTTGCATCAATTATCTTCTTTTTTCATGATTATCTTAGATCTTTTCCTAATGAAAACAATAAAAATCTTTCAATGGAAACCATGAAAATGTGCCATCAAGTCCTCTAAGCAATGGTCCAATATACTGCATTCTGAAAGCTTTCCTGTGTTTGCTTTTCTCCTCTGTTCTCCAAGGCTGTTCTATATTATGCCTATTCATTTTCAACAGACTCCTTTGAAAGGTGACTTTGGCTTGAGGAATTCCTGATGATTTTTCTGAGCCTTCCTTAGACTGTATAGTAGACTTTAGGTCATTTCCTTATAACTTTTATTCCTACTTTCACCCACTATGGAATCTCCTTGCTTCCCCCACTATTTCTCACACAGGTGTTTCTGATAATAAAAAATATCTTTTCATAGCTTCATTCCATCATGATGTAGGGTTTGATTCTGGGAGAACCTTATGACACACACTTAACATTATATTTTTTTGAAACTCTTAGTTCACCATTATCTTTTTCTTCATAATCAAAATTCCAGAATGAGTTGCCTTTTCTTCATATAATTTTATTTGACTAATCCATCAACTCATACAAATTTAGCTTCAGTACTTATTACAGGATAAGTTCTACGAGTTCTACAGCTGAAACACTGAGAATAAAGAGTGGAAAGGCACCTTATTCAAATTTCTCTTTCCTTTGTGTCACAAAATCTAATGTGTAGGTCAGTATATTTAACTCTCATCAGCGTTCATCATCAATGACACCTACTGGAAACGCCCACTTTTGATTTTATCATGTTACATTGTCTCTATTTTTCTCTGTAACCCTCTGACTTCTCTTTTTCAATTTTTTTTCTGGCTTTCCCCACCCTGTTTAGTCCTACTAATTATTTGGAGGTAAGTCTTTTTTTCTTTATTCATACTTACTCTCCTTAATAAGCAATTTCACTTGAACCAATTGTTTTAATTACCACCTCTGATAATTCCCCAGTTGTTTTGTTTTGTTTTGCTGTCTTTGAGACAGGTATTGCCATCAGGTTAGGTGGGCATTGAGCTCACTTTGTATCCCAGGCTGGTCTTGAACTTGCAACGATCCTCCTGCTTCAGCCTACTGACTGCTGGGATTACAGGTGTGCATCATCACATCTAGCTCTACATATCTCCCCATTGTGTATCTGCAGTTTTGCCATCGTTCTGACGTTCCCACATGGTTACATCTCTACTTAGATATTTCAAAATCTTTGAAAACTCAGTTCTTCTGAAAGTTAGCTCATCTAGTTATTTGTGTCAGTTTCCTATAACTATTGCAACCAAATTACCAGAAGCTTGCTTTATAAGTCAAAGGTATTGTCTTACAGTTCTGAAGATCAGAAGTCTTATATGCATCTCACGGAGATAAAATCAACTGAGTATAGCTATATTCCTTCTTCCATAGGGTGAAGCTGTTACAGGCTGCCCACTGTCTTTGCCTCATGGTCTCTTCATCTATCTTCAAAGCTGGCAACAATAGCTTAAGTCTATCTCATATTTCATCACAGCAAATTCCTCTTTTGTGCCTATCTTCAACTTTTAAGAATTTCACAGTGCCCAATCAGACACTCAAGGAAAATCTCACTATTTTGAGGTGTGTTCATTCACATTAATTTCATCTGGAACTTTAATTCTCTTTTATATTTAAAGTAACACAAGTTTCAGTGAATAAACTCGGCCTGTTTGAGGAAAGTGAGTTATTTTAATTAACACATCATTAAAGTTTGCAATTTGAAAGCCATCATTTATGCCTTAATATCTTAAGTACCTTGTCAGCAGTATAGTTGTGTGGAAGAAAGGAAAAAAAATGATTGCAAGTTCTTTATTAGAAAGGTTTAGTTAACGATTACTTTTTTACTAGAAAGTTTGCTGCTAGTCCAAGTTCTCAAGAATAACATCTTTCCCAAATGAGTGACACCACATGGAATTTAAGCTTGCGTGTCTGGGGGTCTGGGGATATAGCTCAATGGCACAAGCCCCTGCCTGGTAAGTGTGAGGTTGTGAGATTAATGCCCGATACCAAAAGAAAAAAATGCCAGTAAGATTGTGTGTCTGATTTATTTCACTCAGCATATTTTTGAGGTACATCGATTTCCCTACAAATGTCTCAAAGTTATCCTTCTTTAAAACTGAGATATATTCCATTATATAACTGATACCATATATTCTGAGTACAAACAAAAGTAAAATAAGGGATGGATACAAGGAAACAAGGAAACATATTTTACAAATGGGAAATATCTAAAAGACTAAGAATGAAGTGAGAGAAGGAAGATCACTGGAAATAAAAATATTTAAGACATGTCATTACAGGTCTCAAATACCCACAATGAATGTAAAAATTATATTTAATAAACATAAGCTAAGAAGAATAATAACAATGAGAATGAAAATAAGGAAAGGGGATTTAGAGATGGAAATCCTTCTGCATAGCTTCTCGAAGGATAGGATTACAGACATGTGTGACCATGCCCAGCTCTCTGAAAGAATTCTTGAGTCATTGGAGAATTCTATGAAAGTCACATAGTTTATAAAATAAGCAGATTTCAGGTTGCTGACAGTTATCTCTACTCATACTGACAGTCATATAGGTCTAGACCTTGGGTGGTAGTGTTTCTGTATGTGTTTAATGCATTACCGTAGCAGGCTTGAGCCAGCTCCTATACATTGAAGAAAGAATGCATATTCAGTGTTCAGTGCATTGTTCTCTTGATGCTGAGACTATCCTAAGAACAAAGTCTGGGTGGATAGAGATGTGTCTGTCCATAAAGAATGATTCTCAAGTTGTCAGAGGTATTTGCTATAAATGCTGGTATCAGAATAGGGAAAGACTCAGAATAGAGGAAATGTATTTGGGTAGAAAAAGGATGAGAAAGGATTGTAACTCTCTGCCTAGACTCAGAAACTCCTAACATTTTCTATAACTCCAAAACACTGGCCACCATGATATATTGAGGAAATGGGTACCTGCACTATTAGTTTGGGGCTAGAAAAAAAATGAATATAAAATGGTAAAACTGAAATCTTAAGATTGAGTGAGGACTCCAGCACCTGACTCCTTGAAGACAAAATAACGGGCTGGAAGAATCTCAGTGGGGCAGAAGGATGGAATAGAACTGCATGAAATTTGAATATGATGTCAGACAAAATGTTCAGCTGCTTTGGAGAGAAGTTCTAGAGCTGAATTTCCCTTGCAGGAAACAATGGAACCAGGGTATCTGTCACCCTGTATTAGTGGCAAAATGCCCAATACCCACTCCTTACAGGAGAAGTTTATGTTGACTCAGCTACAATGAGTTCAGTCCATAGTTGACTGATTTCAAACCAGAAAGAGCATGATGGAAGGGACACCTGGAGAAAAACTGCTCATATGGTGACTGAGAGGCAGAGAAAGGAGAACCTGGGGATAAGAATACACATTTGGATCATGCATCATGTGCCTAGTAACCAGGTCCTATCTGGAACAGTAAAGTTAACTATGAACCCATTGATGGACTAATCCACTGACAGGTATAGTGTCACCATGTTTCAATAACCTTCCAAAAGCATCACCTTTGAACAAGAGGTTTTTGTACATTTTATGTTTGAAAAAATCACACCCCTAATTCAAACACTGATTCTGTGTGCCTATCCTCCCTCCAATCTACTCAGAGGCATTCAGAATAATCATAGCAATACACAGACACTGGCCATCTACACCTACAAATATGTAGTCTTGAAATGGATAGACTTCAAAACATACTCAGAACCTTCCCAAGGAAAATGAGACAATTTTCTGGTGCCTCATTACTAAATACTGAAGACACTGAATCAGTAGTTGGGAGCTGATCTGACCATCGGTGGACTTACTCCATTACTCATCAACAGTCACAGAAAGGTAGAGGTAGGCATGTTCCCTGATCAAAATGGCATCTCTTACTGGGATAGTGGTGGAGATCTTTAGGCTAAAATTTTAAAACAATTTTCACACCCTCTTTTTATCAGGTAAGAGGCAAGAAGTGACTCCAGAATGAATACTGCCACAAACAGGACTATCAGACCCAGTGTTTTAAAAATGTTTTTCATTGTACATGTTGAGTGGGGAGTGGGGATCTGTTTATGAGTGTTACGTTTACTTCTATAATGTCTTATATCATGTTCCACTACAATGACAATAATTTCATAGGGTTTGTTTGTGTGTCTGTTAGTTCATTAACTAGGTTCAATATAGCCATCTTCTCTTTCTTTCCACTTATACTCCCTCCCCATTTCTTCTTTCTTTACTTTTTCTCACATACCCACTCAAAATTTCCCCTTTTTTCTTATGTATAGACATTAATGTTAATTTTTCTTTTTATATTTCTCTCTTTTTTTGTATGTAAGGATATATATATATATATATATATATATATATATATATATATGTTTGCAAATGTGTTTGAGTGTTAGTTGTTGGTTTTGCTCCTATAGTGCATTACTTCGCTTTGTCAGCTTTTGCTAGTTTATTAGCTGGATTCAATCTCTCTATATCTTCTCTTACTTTCCATTTACTTTCCCATCCCCACTCTTTTTTCTTTCTTTTCTCTCACATAACCTCTCATTCTCTCTCCATTCCTGCCTCTTAACTGTTATGTACATATTATCACTAAGTTATTTAACTTCATTCCTTTTCAGTTTTTATCTTTTATGTTTGTTCTTCTTTCTTAAATTCTTTCTATTTTTTCCTAGTCTATTTTACCCTTTATTATTCCTTTATGTGTGTTAGTGAAACAGAAAATAACTTTTAAACGTCTTAAATTAAAATCTGATATGTGATTGGTTTTTGGATGTTGATATTGGAGTCATTCGCTCCTCACAGTGCAGTGCTGGATATTGAACTTAGCATTTTGATTAGACTAAGTGAATGCTTCTATGCTGAGTCATACCCAAAGCCAAAGGCACATCTACTAAGGAAATTTCTGCACAATACATTTAGGTCTTTCCACTTTGATTGATGTACACCTGAAACACAGAAACATAAGAATAATGAGAAAACAAGACAATAATATGCCTCCTAAAGTTAATAACTCTCCAAAAGCTCATGCCCAGATAAATGAAGTAAATGAAATTCTAGACAAATTATGTAAAAAGCCCTAAAATAAAATGACAATAAACATCTAAAGAAATTAAGAAACATAATGGAAGATATGAAAGATAACTTCAATAAAGAGATAGAAGTATGAATAAGAATCAAACAGAAATACTAAATATGAAAAAATAAGGTAAATACATGAAATGAAATTTTCTACAATACACATGATGAATCACAAAAAAGAACATCAAGTTTTGAAGACAAAGTGATCATAGTAGAACATTTAGTGAGTAAAAATGAAAAAAGAACAAGAAACAATAAAAAGGTTTCCAAGAGCTCCTACAATGCTAAAATAATATATATATATATATATATATATATATATATATATATATATGAATCATAGACCTTTTCAGGGTTGTATAGTACAGGTTACAACATAAAAATTTACTACCTGGAAGTATAGCAGAAAATTTCCTACGCTTTTGGAATGATATGGATATACAGGCAAATAAACATGACTAGAAAAGAACTTCTCTATGACTCACCATACTACAAATGTCAGAAATTTAGAACAAAGGATATTAAATGCTGTTAGAGAGAAGCACCGAGTCAGTTATAAGGGAAATACTATCAGAATATCAACAGATTTATCAATAAAATATTTAAAGTTCAAAAGGGCTTGGAATGCATTTTTTCAAGCCTTGAAAGAAAATAATTGCCAACCAACATTACTGTTTCTGCAATGCTATACATTCACATAGAAAAATATATGGAGGCTTTCTTTGATAAACCAGTATTACAGAAAGTATTTAAGAGATATTGAACAGATATGATAAGGATAATAACACAATAAGTCCAAGAGGAAGAAAAATACCAATGAAAGAGTAGTTGCATGAATAAGAAAAACAAATTTATGAAACACTGGAAAAAATAATAACAAGAGTTACCAAACACCTTTTAAATAATGATTCTCTCTGCAAAGGGTCTTAACTCTCCATTTAGAAAGTAGAATGACAGATTGGATCAAAAAACAAGACCTGCCCATATGTTTCTTGCAAGAAACAATTTATCTGTAAAGATATCAAGCCAAGTCAGAAGAGACTAAGAAGATCACCATATACTGGTAAAGGAAGCAGTTCATTAAGAAGTGATAATGATTATAAACATATGTGCACCAAACACTGGCATACTCAATATTACAACACAACACTGTTTGATATAGAAAAGCAAATAGAGTCTGAGGTGAGAATTGGAGCCCATGGTGAGAACAAAGAAAAGGAGTTGAATGCAGAAGAGGGAGATGACAAATGGCACTTGCTTCGAATCCCAGCTTGCAATATGGGAGCCGGATCAAACCTACAAAGGTACATTGACCACAAGTGACACCAAAATACTCCATGAAGAAACACGTAAGTGGAAGGGAACAGTGAATGCAGCAGGCTTCAATGCATGGTGAGTGTTTATAATTTAAACATCCCTAGGAGAGGTCAACTAATTAGTTGCAATTCTGGAAAGGGAACAATTGAATTTAGGACTCAGAATTGCAGTGGGTTTGCTCTATGTCAGGGATCCAAGTATAAGGATAAAACAGTCATGAGAGACACATGAGGATCAGGGAGTTGAGTTCAGGATGGTAAGAGTCATCCAGTGTGTCATGCCTGAGCAACTCAGATCCCAGCTTCACAGCCAAAAACCAGGACCAGCCTTAACTTCAGTGCAGTTAAAATCACAGGCTGGTTTGGATTATCCAACATCCCACCATAATTATATTGCAGAATTGGTGAGATCAAGCAAAACACACATGGGCTCTGTATGTCCTCTTTGTCTATTAGGAACAGCAGAAACATGCCCTGAGGTTGAATTTTTTTCAATCTTTCTTTGCTGATTTTATTTCTTTTCCTTCATTGTTTGTTCTTCTTTCTAATGCATATGAACATTGTTTCTATTATTTTTGTTTTGTTCTGTACTTGCTTTTGTTTTCTTCCTTCCTTCCTTCTTTCTTTCTTCCCTATATTTTTCACTGTTTTCCCAAAGTCTGTGTAATTTTCCTTTCTCCTTCACATTTGTTTCTAATATTTTTCTCTTCCATTTCTCTGTTTTTTCCCCTTTCCCATTTAAAATTTTCTCCTGTTAGGTTAAAGTCGCTCTAAAGAGAGGGAGGAAAAAAAAAAGAGCTCTAACGGATATAACAGCAAGTGTGTTTAGGGGTGTTAAATAGCTGACTATATTAATGTTTTTGGATCATTGAACACAGCTGTTTGCAGTCTCTCTGTTTGAATGTCTACTTTGTATTCTTTGATACTGTGATTTGAGCAACTATTTCCAAGATGATAATATGTAATCTATTAACAGGTGATTTCTTACTGTTATTTTTTTTTTGTAGTTCTGTATTATGTGTAACCTTACACTGCTTTGTTTTGTTTTGTGTTTTTCTCTTTTTCCTCTTAAATAAAAAAAAAAAAGAAAATACTATAAAAAAAGAGGATACTTACTGTATGTAATTTTCTGTTTTGTGTGTCATTTTGTTATACAACCACAAATTGTGTTCATATGGTTAAAAGTTGCAAAATAATAGTTATTACAAATTGTCATTTTTTGAGGCTGTGCTTAACATTTTTGTTATTACTCTTTATATTATTTTAGCCAAGGAAATGCAGTTGTTCTAACCAGTTGTTTTTTCTTGTACACCAATACTGAGTTTGCTTGAGTGTCATAAACAACACTATACACCAGTACAAAAAAGGGGCTAGGAAAAATAGGCAGTAGCTGCTCACCCCAAATAAATAGAAGAGAGAGTATCTTGCAACAGGCTCAAAAGTTAAAAGCCAACTACATCTCTAAAGAATAATATTCCCACAGAATTTCTTGACACTAATAATAAAGCTACCTACTGTAAGGAATTTTCAAGCATCAACACAGAAAATTTTTAAAAAGAAATAAAATTAGAAGATACAGAAACAAGCTGTTACCCCATACTTTCAGCTTGCCAAAGGAAAATCCAGTAGACACTGACATGGAACAATTTGAAAGTCACCCACTAGAAATCTCTGAACTAGTAACAATGGAAGTAATAAAAGAAAAAAAATAATGCTCTTGAAAAAGACATATGGAAAATAATTTCTCAGATAATAAAAGAGATGATGACCATAATTAAGGACATGGTTAGTAAATCTAGAGTACACAAAATTTTTTAAAAAAAAATATGATAGCTTAGAAAAAATGATGGAGACTGTAAATTCATATAATAGGAAATAAATGTTGAAACATTTTCTTGAAACAGATTCAAACATATATCAAGGGAATTAAAAGTTCTATTAAAATATATGCAGCAGAATGAGGTTTGTGGTTAGTGATCATGAAAATAAAGTCTTCTTAAATATAGCAAGTGATCGCACAAAAACTATTGCTAGATGATGCAAATAAGAATAACATAATGCTATATTGGAATGTAATTTCCAAAAAAGCAGGAGATAATGTACACAATATAAAAACCAATTCATAGAAGTAATGTCAAAAGCCTTGAAACTTGGAAAAAGAATGTGACATTCGGATAAGTGAGGCATATAGAATTCTGATTATCCATAACCAAAACAAATCTACACCAAGGCATACAGGAATCAGCATTCCAGAATTCAGCCCAAGAACTGAATATTGAAATCTATTATAGAAAAGAAGCAAATCGCTTATATGGGAAAGTGCATCAGACTTTCTCAAAACAAAACCTTGACTCAAGGAGGGCTTGCAATGAAGTACTTCAAATCCTGAAAGAAAATCTCCAAGCAAGATTAGCGCATACACTTGCCATGCAAAGAATACCTGAAGAAATTAATGACCAATAAACCAGCAATTCAATGTGTTCTGAAGGACATTTTAGAAAGTGATAATGATGACTAAAAT